AGAGGATGAGACTGGCACCTCCCTGAGGAATTCACACTGTTGTGGCTGGCTGACTTGGGGACTGGGGTTTCAGTCTGGGGAGATTCTTGCTAGAGGTTGTAGCTAATAAACATAGCTGAACTGAATTTGCATGGACTCTTGGAGTTCCTCGGGCTAGGCCTGACACCTGGGACCCCCAGGCCTTATCCCATAGCCAGGTCTTGAGGGACCTCTGGACTGTTGAGAGGGATGGAGCTAATCTCACTTCCGGGGGGAGAAGATTCCACAAGGTGGGTGCCACGGCAGAGAAGGCCCACTTCCTGGGACCCACCAAATGGAATTCCCTGGCAGACGAGACCCGCAGACGGGATGCCTTCTCTGCCAGACCTGATGGGACGGGGAGATGTAATTGGGGAGAGGCAGTCCCTCAAGTAACCCAGCCTCATGCCATGAAGGGCTTTAAAGGTTAAAACCAGCAACTTGAATTGGACCCAGAAGTAAACTGGCAACCAATGTAGCTCGCGGAGCAGAGGTGTAACATGTACCACCCTGGGGGCACACATAACTGCCCACACCACTGCATTTTGCACGTGCTGAAGTTTCCGGATACTCTTCAAGGGCAGCCCCATGTAGCGCACATTACAGAAATCCAAACAGGAGGTGACCAGGGCATGAGTGACGGTGATCAGCTCCCTCTGATCTAGGAATGGGCGCAACTGGGGCACAACAAGAAGCTGTGTAAAGGCCCTCCTAGCCATGACTGCCACCTGCTCTTTGAGCAGCAGTCGTGAGTCCAGGAGGACCCCCAGATTGTTATAGTTATTTCTGTACCACTCTTCCTCCCATAAGAGTTCAAAGAATACGATGAATGAATGAAAGGGACCTTAAATAAAACATCCAAAAATTGTTAACCAAACTACAACAAAAACAGAACTTCCTTTGAAAAGAGAAGCCCTTTGAAATACAGACACATCCTGGAAGAGTTCTTATCCTACAAGCGCATGAAAGGTCTATGGGCCAGACATTAGCAAAAATAAGCTTTAATTTTTTTCATCCAAAAAAATATCTCTAGAAAGCAAACTTGACTCTCCATTTTAGCCAAGGAAGAATAAATAAACACAGGGACTTTCTCTAAAGGCTTTATAATGCAGGGATAGCCAGCTTTTAACACCAAACACCAAGAGTCTGCCCACCTCCTCCCTCCTCAAAGAACATGAAATCGAGGAGGAAAGCAGCCCCAAGGACTACTGCTTTGATTTTAACCTCAAGGTCCAGAGGGAACGCAATTCCGAGAGAATCCACATCTGTGAAGAACTCCTGGAGAAAGCCTCCCCACTGCTTAGAAATCCTTCCCACGTTGGTCTTTTCGTCTAGTGCCATCAGCTCAAAATTCACATCCCCACAGCAGGCAGATGTCAAGCAAGGCCCAATGATTTTAAGGACATCCTTTCGGACTTCGTTTTGGAGTGTAAATTTGGGCAGACAGGGGTCCCATATCTGTTTGATATAACCAATCGGAAAGCCTGGTGGCGCATGGATTTCCATCTCTTGCAAGCAGCATGGGCAACAGCAGCTGATGCAACGGTAGGGTCGCACGAGGCTGATGATGTGCTGTCCCATGTGGTTAGCGATCACCATGGTAAAGGGCCGCAAGGTTCCGAGGCAATTCCGCACACAGCAGTTGTTTTCTTCGGTGGCAAAGTACACCATTTGTCCCAAACGGTTTCTTACTTCGTACTTGTTGGCTGTTTCAAAGGACGTTATGAGTTCCAGAATTTCGTATTTCTGGTGGATTAATAACCAGTCAATTTGGCTTAAATATTCCAGCCCAGGAGGACAGCCGGGGAGCGAAGGTGGCATGGGCATCCACATGTCACTGGGGCTGAATCCGTACGCGGTTACAGCTATAGGAGGTTGATTCATTTTTGCAGATCTGGACAGCTTTTGTCAGGAAGCTCTTCCATGCTCACATGGCAGGTCTTTGTAGTTACCAGCTCAGCTTGTTATTCTGCATTGGAGAAGCGGCTGTATCCTGTAAACAACCATTTGGTTCCACGAGCCTCCATCTGCACCTGAAATTACACAACCCAGCCCACTGCAAAGGCTAAACAGGGTGCTATTTACCTGCTGGACCTATTGTTGAGTCACAGTTGTTACAGCTGAGCTTTATCCCCTGAACTTTCAAGGGAAACCCACCTGGACCTAAAACTGCAACACAGAGGAGCAAAATGAAAGCTGGATCTCCATGTATGGCTGCCTTGACTTCTAGCAGAGAAAATTACCAAATACTTCAGGGGAGTGGGTGTGAGGATGAGCAACACCAGTTCCTCCTCCTGGATCTCTGAGGCATTTTCTCTGTTGGAGGTCAGACAGCAAGTGCTGTTTCAGCTGAGAGTCCTACCACTTTTTAGGTACAGAGAGTGGGTCTCTTTGTGGTGATGGGTTTCTTGTCGAAATCTGAAACTGGATCTTCCTGGTTCAAGTCCCACAACACTGTACTGCATTGTTTCATAACACAGTATTATGCTTAATAATAACTTGGCAGGAAAGGTGCAATTTTTAGAACGTTTGCTTTAATATGGATGGTACTGTCTCAAAAATATACAGTAAATTCAGCACAAATGCATCTTCTCCAAAGGCATAGTAGCTTTCACTGAAATCTCTGCTTACTCAAATGGTGGCATTCATTATATCTATCAAACCAGGACCTTTAATAAAGCACTACCAGCCAAATTCTGAGTACTGTACCTAATTTCCTTCACCTTGCAAATACTGGCATCTCTCTGGCTTGTTTGGTGGTAGCTATTAGTCAGGAAATACTATAAAAGTTCTCAGAGTAATCATTTTGCAGTGCAACTCAAGAGTATACACCATCATTTATTTGCCAGCACTGTGACCACCAAGCTACATCTGGTTTTCCTTATTTTTTTAAAAAAAACCTAATTGAACTGTTTGGCACAAAGCAAATCCTGCTGGATGCCGCTCTGCTAAAGAAGATGGGGGTGGTGGTGGTGGTGGGGAGTAACAATAAACACAAGTTTATCCAAAATGAATATACATAGTTTTTAAGGATGGAGCTGTGCCAAGACCGCAATAAAGGGGTTCACACAAAGTAGCATGCCAAAGCCTAATGAACCATCAGCATGGAGGGTAATTTAGCCAATGTGTGATTCCCGGGTTTATCTGCCCAGAGTCAGGTGTCATGCAAGTTTAATAAATAACAGTAATCGACTATTAATTGACCCATCAGTTAATATCTTGGGTGCCTAGATGAGTGCTGAATGGAAAGAGGCTTTTTTTGGTTTTTTTGCACTGGCCCCCAAATCATGAAAGTCTCTCCCCCGACGGACCCCCCTGGCACCTTCCCTGCCCCATCGGGCGCACGAGCCGCGCCTCGCTTCTTGCAAACGCCGCTTCTAACCCGTCCCTGCCTCCATAGGGAAAACTATCCACCCAGACTTTTAGACAAGTCCGGTATCCCAGCGACCTCCTTTTATGTTGCAGTAGTTCCCCACGCAAATCCAAGAAGCGGGGCGGAGCGGGGAGAAAAATTCTTCATGTTAAATTAATCTGGAAAGGACAGAGCAGGCTTTCCCAAACGGCTGCCGCCCAAACATGTTGGACTGCATTTCCCATTCCTCAGCTGCCTGGAGGATAATGGGAGCTGGAGTCCTTCCCGGCCAGAGGACACCGCGTCGGAACAGCCCCCCCGGAGAGCGCGGCGTTCGCTGCAGCACCGGACGTGTGGGAAGAGTGGCTTCCCTCTCCCAGCTCTTTCGTCGCTTTCTCCGCCC